TTTTTTTTTTTAATAGTTGACATGTTTGGAATTTCTGGTGGTAAAGCGTTTTTTGAAATGCCACTTTTCACAGCAGTTCCTAGGTGGGTTTTCCTTTGACCATTTTAAAGTCCCTGGAAGGCCAGCCTCGATTTTGACCCACGCGCCACGATCGAACGTTGGCAGCAGTGTCGGTAAGTACCCTGTTGTGGCTCAGCGGGACGTTACACACAGGGATCAGACACAAGCACATCGGCCTCTGCTTTATCCTGAAAGGAGGGTAGAGGAGTGGGTCCCAGGTGCCCCGTCTCACTTCCTGGCATTGACAGCATGTCTCCCCCATTTACTAGATGGGAGACTTTGGCCTCTGTGGGGATCTGCTTCCTTCCCTACCTGCAGGAAGGGGTGAATTATAGTGTATCTGCTTCACTGGGTTGCTGGAAGGATGAGTGAGTGTCTAGCACAGAGCAGATGCTACCTAAATGCTTGCTGTTATCCTTCTCAGAACATGAACAAATGGATGCCCATCGCCAAGGAGTATGACCCACTTAAAGCCGGCAGCATCGATGGCACTGATGAAGAACCACACGACCGGGCAGTCTGGAGGGCCATGCTGGCCCGCTATGTCCCCAACAAAGGAGTCACAGGAGATCCCCTCCTCACCCTTTTTGTGGCGAGACTCAACCTGCAGACCAAAGAGGAGAAGTTAAAGGAGGTGTTTTCCCGATATGGTGACATCCGGCGGCTTCGGCTGGTTAGGGACTTGGTCACCGGCTTTTCGAAGGGCTATGCCTTCGTGGAATACAAGGATGAACGTTCCCTGTTGAACGCTTACAGAGATGCAGACGGCCTGGTCATCGACCAGCATGAGATATTTGTGGACTACGAGCTGGAAAGAACTCTCAAAGGGTGGATTCCTCGGCGGCTCGGAGGAGGGCTCGGGGGGAAGAAGGAATCTGGGCAGCTGAGGTTCGGGGGACGGGATCGGCCTTTTCGAAAGCCTATCAACCTGCCAGTTGTCAAGAACGATGTCTACAGAGAGGGGAGAAGGGATAGGAGGGAGCGGTCGCAGTCCCGTGAAAGACACTGGGACTCGAGGCCCAGGGGCCGGGAGCATGGCAGGGGCCGGGAGAAGCGGTGGCAGGACAGAGAGCCAGGTAGGGCCTGGCCTGAGAATGACTGGGGGGCAGAGAGGGATTTTAGGGATGACAGGCTCAAGGGCAGGGAGAAGAGGGACAGAGGTAAGTGGAGGGTCAACAGTAAAACGGAAGATGAAGACAAAGCCTAAATGACCTGTGTGGTTTCTGCACAGAGTGAAGTCTCATGGTCGAATAAACGTCACCAGCGATACCAGGGTCCGGAGTACGTTTTCTTTCCTGCCTGGAACCCACGTTCAAGCTGAACACACTGACGTTAGGGATTTACCTTCTTCTTTCTCTGTATGCGTGTTCTGTGGCTGCCGTAACAAAGTACAACCACCTGGGGGGCTGCCAACAACGATTTTAGTTCTGGGGGCCGGAAGTCTGCAGTCAGGGTGTCGGCGGGGCCGTGCTCTTTGCCTCTCTGCTTCTGGTGGTGCCAGGACGTCGCTGGTGGCCTTGCCTTAGGGCTGCGTCCCTCCCGTCCCAGCCTCTTCATGTGGCCGTCGCCCCTCTGTGTTTGCCTTCTGGTGCCTCTCTTATAAGGACACCAGTCACAAAGAGATAAGAGCCCACGCTACTCCAGAAGACCTCGTGCTAGCTAACAATACCTGCACAGACCCTACTTCCAAACAAGGTCAGGTTCACAGTACCAGGGGTTAGGAGTTCAGCCTATCTTTTTTGGGGACAGAGTTATCCTCGTAACAGTCTGCTCCTGGGCATGCATGTGAAGGGTGTGTGTTCCCTGCAGCACTGTCTGTGAGACTGAAAGATCTCATTGGACGTAACCTGCCTGTGAGCGAGGGGTTGGACAGATATCACTTAAGTCATACAGCTGCGATAGACCACAATCCTCTCACCTTCAACACTACTGGCCATTTAGGGCCAGGTACCTCTGTGCCGAGGGGCTCTCCTGTGTAACATGTTTAGCGGCATCCTTGGCCTCCACTCACAGGAAGAAAAATGTCTCTAGACACTTGCCAAATGTCCTACGGGGCAAAATCGCCCAGATCTGAGTACCACCATGTGGTGGTTATGTTTATGTGTCAGCTTGGTTAGGCCTGGTTGAGTGGCTAGGCAGTTGGTGGTAGTTACTCCCCATGATGAGACTGGCAGTCAGCTCCATGGTGCAATCTACCACAAACAGCCGAGTAGCTGCCTTTGGGATGTGGTCTGCTTCCTGTATATGAGGAGAAGCCTTGGGGAATAGTCTCTAGCTTATGGCACAGTTGGACCCTGCATGTAGCCGTGTCGTTGCTCAGCAGCCTGCCATGCTGTGCTGACCTGGGGACTTACAATGGACTTGAATTATTGGCCTGCCATGTGGTTTGCTAACATTGGGACTGTACCTTTTTACTTGTCAATCTTGGGCTTGGCAGCCTCAGCAGCCAGCAGCTGTCTGAGTGAAGAAATGCCTCTA